CAGCTGCACCACACTCCCGATGCTGTGGAGTCCCTACCATGACACTCTGTACCCACAAATTGTGAGCCAACATTATCCCCCCCCTTTTTTTTTTGGTTTTCAAGACGGTTTCTCTGTGTAGTCCTGGATGTACTAGAACTCTCTGTGGAGAACAGGCTGGCCTTGAACTCGGAGAGATCTGCTTGCCCCTGCCTCCTGAGTGCTGAGATTAAAGGCATGCGCCACCACCACCTGGCTAGACCTCCCTTTTTTAAGTTGCTTTGGTCAGATATTTTATTACAGCAATGAAAAAAAAAATACACACAGCCAGCCAAGGCCAAGACCCAATTTGACACTTGCAAAGTCAGGTGTTTCTGTGACAGTCTCAGTGTGTATGATTGTCTTACCCCCAAGTCAGGTTGCTCACAGGGGCAAAAGTCTGTGTGCTCCTGTCCCCAATGGAACTTCAGCCAGGACTGCTAAGCATATTTTTAAATCTATTGTTATTTTGAATTATGTAAATGTGTGTATGTGCCGGGCAGTGGTGGTGCACACCTTTAATCCCAGCACTCGGGAGGCAGAGGCAGGCGGATCTCTGTGAGTTTGAGGCCAGCCTGGACTACAGAGTGAGTTCCAGGACAGGCTCTAAAGCTACACAGAGAAACCCTGTCTTGAAACCCCCCCCCAAAAATGTGTGCGTGTGTGCGTGTGTGCGTATGTGTGTGTGCACGCGCGTGCGCGCTTTCGGTGTGGGATCCTCCTTACACCTGGAGTTACAAGAGGCTGTGATGCCTGATGTGGATGCTGGCAACTGAACTCAGGTCCTCTGCAAGAGTAGCATGTGCTCTTAGCCTCTCAGTCCTCTCTCCAGCCCCTAAGCGTGGTTGTTAAATGAACACATGGGTGAACATGTGAGAGGCGCGGTGGGCAGGCAGAACCGTCAATGAAGCAGAGAGGGGAACTCAGGCTGGTCCAGTCTTTACACCTCGGTGTCACTGCTGGGCCTGCAGCTCAGTTACTCCTGACCCTCGCAGGCGGCTGACCCCCTCCTCGGGTAGCATATCTTGGCTCCGTTGAAACAGGGCTGGTTCAGAGAAAGAGACCAGGAAGGGACGGAATGCAAAGGGCTCTGGAGGGGGTCAGTGACGTCAGGGGACAAATACAGCTGACCGCTTGCTCTCCCGCCACTTCAAGTGGTCCCAGGTCATGTCCTTCTTAGAGGCGGCTTGGGCTTAAGGCCCTCTTAGTCTCTTTATGGCCCCAACGTTCTCTTTTGTGGTGAACCAGAAATGTGCTCTTGAAAGATGTGGACAAAGGAAAATGGGCCTCATTTCAGAGCCATGAATTTGAGGAGAAATTCAGTAAAGCCTCTCTCCCAGATCACAGCTGGATCCACATTCTTGGGTCTCCGCTCTACGGGGAGTCCCTTGCTCCAGATGTGGTCCTTACTCCGTCTCTGCACCTTTAGGTCTGAACCCTGGCTGCCAGCCTCTGCCTGCACCTGCTCTGGGCGTGCCCCTCTGCCTCTGGTGTGAACTAGGGGTCAGCAGGGCAGAAGGGCCTGGCATTGTGGACACAGTGGGCTCCAAAGCCTGGCACCCCTTGGCTTTCACAGCAGTACAGTGAGCATGGCTCAGATGGATGCTCCCAGTCTGCCTGATGCCATGACGGTGCCTTTGTCTGGGCACTGGGAACTGTGATTTATGTCACAGGCTCTCTGGGAAACCTTTCGCCTCAGTAATTCTGAGCGCCACGGGTGTCTCTTTACATCTATTTAAAGTACGGCTGCTGCTCATGGGGGCTGCATGCTCTGCAGCATTCCAGGTGGCTTGGTAGTTGCCTGCCACGGTGGAGCATCTCTGGGACCAGTTTGGGTACGCTTGCTGTGCACCCCACAGGGCTGCTGAGGCCAGTTAGGTGAGCGGGATGCCTTCCCAGGTGAAACGGACAGGAGCCTGTGTGGGAGGGAGTATGTGGCCTATCCATCCCCACGGTTTCGTCTGCTTACCCCTGGGCAAGGCCAGCCCAGGCCATCACAGGTGCATCTAGCATGGATTCAGTGTGGGTAAGCGCATCTCATCTGCAGGCTGTTCAGGAAAGTGGGGTCATTTCTAGAAGTGCAAGGGTGTCTGTGCAAGGAGGTCAGCACCTCATGTCCAGAGGTGGGATGCAGACCTGGGTCCAGGAGTCAGTCACCCACCGGAGTCCCTTGCATTCACGCAGCAAACCTTGACTGGGGTTTGCATGTACCTGCGCTTTCCACATGCAGGGCAGGCACTGCCTTTTTACTACAAAGATGTCTCAAGAGCTGTTCAGCTCCTTACACGCTGGTATGAAATTGGCCAGAGAATCCTTGCGACTGCCAGGGTCAAGTGTTTCCCATGACCCTGCTGTGGCATTCTGCCCAATACATGTGAGCTTAGCCCCCAATCCTGAGGTGTGAAGAGATGAACATATGACCACACCCCGCATGGCTGGCATGGCACGTGGGCACGTTGCAGAACAGAGGCCCTGGAGACTTGGAGGGGAGCATGGTGCCATGTGCTGCATCTGTAGGTCAAGACAGGGCACTGGCTGCTCCTAGAAGACCTCCCCAGGGATCAGGCTGGGAGGCTGCAGCTCAAGCTCCAGCCCCCGAATGAGGAGGGGTCCCTTAAATTGAAATGACTTGTCACGGCATGTATGTGGAGGTCAGAGGACAACTTGTAAGGGTCAATTCTCTTACAGTGTGAGTCCTGGGGACTAAACTCAAGTCACCAGGCTTGGCATCAAGTCCCTCCACTGTTCCATCTCACCCCTACCCCTTAAAGGAGACCACCATCAGTCACTTTCTGTTTGCAGCCTACTGTGAGATCCACTCTGGTTTTTATTTTGTGTGGTTCCATATGATGATGACTGAGCATATGGGCTTAATGTAGACAGGATGTGAACTGAAGAGCAGTCCATGTCCCAGGTAGCTGACCAGGTCCTGCTGGGAATGGGGAGGGAGTGTTTAGAGTGTAAGCTATGGATGTAGAGACCCAGAATCCAAGAATGCTAGCACTTCCTTTTTAGAGCCTGCCATATTGAAATGTGTGTATTGGCAGAACACCACGGGGGATGACGTGGGTGACCCTGTCAACAAAGAGTCCACATGCTTGTCTGATGACACACGAGGTGAATGAAGCATGGGGTAGAGTTTCCACCCTTCTCCTGACTCCTGATGCATCCTTCACTCTGAATGTGCCCATATGCCAAGTCATTTGAGAGAAATGTGTGAATCTCACTATCTCAGGACACTGAAAACTGTTTCTTTGGATCATTTTTGGGTAACAGCTTCCCAGATGCTGGTTCAAAACATACCAGACACACATACATGTTCACAGGTACATAGGTAGGCATATATGATTGAGATGTCTTGGGAGATGTGGGTGAATTTTAAAATAAAATGAGCCAAAATTTTATGACCAATTTGGCTTCTTACGATGAAGTCTTTTGGGAAAGGTAGTCTCTTCTAGCTAATACTTTGGGAATGGTATTTTGTGTGTGTGTGTGTGTGTGTGTGTGTGTGTGTGTGTGTGTGTGTATGCACATGTGTGAATACCATGTGCATGTGGAAGTCAGAGGACCTGTTTGGGTGACTATCCTCACCTTTCATCTTGTTTGAGGCAGGCCACTTTGTTTGCCACTTTGGTGCATACACCAGGCTAGCTGGTCCTCAAGATTGATTATTTATTTATTTACTTACTTGCGCAAATATTGTTTATTAATTTATTTACTTGGGTATGTGAGCATGTCCATGTGGAAGCTGGGGAGGGTCAGCCTTGGGTATCATTTCTCAGGAGCTACCCATCTTGTTTGTTTGAGATAGGGTCTTTTACAGGAACCAGGGTGTGGATGCGATGGCTAATCTTGGTTATCAACTTGACTACACCTGGAATCAACTAAAACCCAAGCTTCTGGGCCATCCTGTGAGGGATTTTCTGTTTTAAAAAATTATTTATTTTTATTTTATGTGCATTGGTGTTTTGGAGTCCCAGACAGTTGTGAGCTGCCATGTGGGTACTGGGAATTGAACCCACATCCTCTAGGAGAACAGCCAGTGCTCTTAATCACTGAGCTATCTCTCCAGCCCCGTGAGTAATTTTCTGAATCAGATTATTTGAAGCAGGAAGATTCACCCTAAATCTGGACCACACCAGGACACATACAAGGACATGGAAGGAGAAAATTGGTTTTGTATGCTTGCCCTCACTCCTGCTGACAAGTTCATCTGCCCTATTACTGAGGCTGGTATTAAATCCAACTTCTTCAGGATTCCGTCTAGACTTGAAGACTCGCAGCCCCCCTCCAGGACTCCAGCACCAGATCGGAACTGCTGAGACACAGCGTCTTGTGGACTGAACATCTACTAAGTTCTCAGTCTTTCTGTCTGGAGACAGCCATTGTTGGATCACAGGCTCTCAACCACTCTAAAATACTACACACACACACACACACACACACACACACACACACACACACACACACTCCTTTATCAGTTCTGTTCCTTTAGAGCAGTGGTTCTCATCATGCGGGTTGTGACCCCTGGGGTCAAATGACCCTTTCACAGGGGTCACATGTCAGATATCCTGCATGCCGCATATTTATTTACATTACGATTCACAACAGTAGCAAGACTACAGTTACGAAGTAGCAATGAAATAATTGTATGGTTTGGGGGTCACCACAGCATGAGGAACTGTATTAAAGGGTGGCAGTATTGGGAAGGCTGAGGACCACTGCTTTTGCAAACCCTAATGCACTGGTTCTGGGCGTTTAGGCTACGCTGGCTGTTTGGTCTGTCACTACTCCAGCGTGGGATTGGAGGTGTACGCCACCAAAGCTGGGCTTTACATGGCTGCTAGGGACCCACGCTTGGTTCCTCTTCCTTTGCTGCAAGCGGTTTACAGAGGGAGCCATCTCCTCAGGTCCTGAATGTCCTTCTAACTTTTTCTTTTGTCATGGTGTCTTTATGGCATTTTCAGACATATACACCATTGTCACGTGTCTGGGGGTTTTATTGTTTGTCTTTTCCGTGATTAACGACCTGACAGATGGAAAAGTGACAAGGTGAGCTGAACAAACTTTGCAAACTTTGCCGGGGCAAGGGATAGAGGTCTCAACGCAGGGGTGACCTGCACAGGGCACATTAGGTGAATTTCACGGCAGGGGGAGTAATTTGCGAAGGTGTAAAGTGCTCACATTAACAAGGCGCTGGGCAGGTTGGGTGACTTCGATGCAGAGCAGACGCCTGCTGTGACAAGAGACTCATTTTCATCTTTCTGGAAATTACACCAAAAGACGAGCTGCTGGAATGAATACCCGGGAGCTGGCGTTGGGATGGTATCACGGAAGTGAGTGCTAGGCGTCCCCAGGAGACTACTTCGAAAGGAGACAAACTGGGATACTTAGCAACAGTGCAGCCTCTTCATTTTTAGTTTTGCTAACCACGAGGATACTCTTAAGTTTTCGCTTCTCAAAGTAGGGTCCCAAGACTCGCAGCCTCCACCTCCCCTGGAAGTTTTGAGAGAAATGCAGACCCTCCCACGATCCTTTGGGCACACAGCATGCAAGCCTTGGCATGTTCAGTGTCTGCATGGCCAACCTCCCCTGGGGTCCCTTTACCTTGGGGAAGGCGTCGGGCCACACCAAGGGGGATCCGTGGTTGAGTAGAGCTTGCACCATGCGCTGCGGCGCTGCCGGGGGCGCGCACGTGGCCGTCTGCAGCGCGCGCGCCAGCGGCGACGCTCCACCGTAGTCGAGCGCGCCCGCGTCGGCGCCGTGCAGCAGCAGGAGCGTGCACAGGCTGGGGCGCGCGCGGCCGCAGGCCTTGTGCAGCGGGCTGCGCTCGTCCTCGTCGCGCGCGTCTGCCGCCGCGCCGCCGCGCAGCAGGAGCGCGCACAGCCGCAGGCAGCGCGCGTGCTCGTCAGGGCTCCGCGTCGCCGCTCCGCACGCCGCGCTCAAGGCTGTCTCGCCGCGACCGTTCCTCGCGTCCACGCGCGCGCCGCGGCCCAGGTAGAGTTGCGCGTGCTCGTCCAGGCCGTACTGGGCCGCCACGTGCAGCGGTGTGTCCAGGCCAGGGCCGCACTCCAGCTGTACTGTCGCGCCGTGCTCCAGCAGCGCCTGCGCGCACCTGCGGGCAAGCCAAACAGGTCACCAGCGCGCGTGACCAGCCGCGACCCGCCACCCACGGCGCACCGGGCACCACTGGCGAGCTCCAGCCAAAGCCAGGACTTTCGAGCTCCAGGGCCAAGGCCACCCATTGCAAAACGAATAGACCGGAGACAAAATAAGATTACGGCGAACCCAGGGTCCCAGCCCCAGGGGTCATCAAATGAATAGGGACTTTCATTCTAAAAGCACTTAGACTTAGGATGAGAAGGGCCATCGCTTGGTGCTGTTTGGGAAGGTAATGTCCACATGACAGCGTTCAGGGCGCTGGGCACTCGGACTTTATCTGGACTCGGTCAAACCTGGAGGTTAAGGTCTAGAGAGAATCCTTTAGATCAGGATGTCCCATCTTTCCTGTGCAAGGCAAGGACCCTCCTTGGAGACTGGGGGAGAGGGGTGGGACTTCACCCTCTTTTCAAGGCCTCTGATTCAGACAGGCACCAGAGTATTCTGCGTTGGAAGCATCAGCCAGAAGCACACCCATGCCTACATATGGAGCTGTTTGTTCTAATTCCTTCTTTCTTGACCAAACTGTGCGCTTTGGCTGTGACGCAAGTTTTCAGTCTCTGAGGGTTTCTGAGTCCTATGGGAGATTGCTTCTTCCCCTGAGGAGAATGGGTTCTCCTGCCTCTAGGCTCACCAGCTGGGTTCAAGACTGCCTTTGACCCCACACACCTATCTTCTTACAGAAGAGCAGCTCTCTCAGCCGCTCCTCTGTCCCCTGGGAGCACCCCCACACCTCATCTTTCACTGACGGCTGTTTGGACCATGCTAGATCTGGCAGCCGAGCCCCCGGGTGGGAAATGTAGTCTGCTAACCTGAGAGGGGGAAGTAGCCACAGGCCCTCTTCCGGTGCCCCCTGCTCGTCTCCTGGGTCTCTGAATCCCTGGATAGTGATGATATACTTCTGCACACTGACCGAAGAGCAGAACTCACCCACGTCAGTTGGCAGTATTCTTCATCTCTGCCCTAGTGAGCACTGAAGACTTGTCTCCTTGACTTCCTCCTTCCTGTTTCCCTTTCTCTGGCAGTGCTGTGGTAACTGCCCGCTCTCATTTCCCTCTGTTGAGGAGAGTATGGCCATCCCCATCTTTTAAATGTCAACCATTCCTCTCCACCTGGCTGCTGAACTCTGTTGTGGGAGGCAGGACCCTCCTTGGAGACTGGCTCTGGTCTCAGCTGACCCATCTAGATCATCACACAGCTCCCTGTCTGTCTCGTTCAGGGGCATGTCGTTACCGATGTCCCTCCCACCCACCGGGATAGTGCCTTCCTTAGATACTCCAGTGCACTGCTGCAGATCACAGCTCACTGGGATCTGTTGGCTTCCACCCTTCTCCAATGACTCAGGAGTCTACCCCAGCTCTGCGGGGTGGGGGTGTTTTCAAGAACCCCCCCCCTTGCTGTCTCCAGCAGTGGCACCTATTCCCCTGCCTGCTGGGATCAGTTTCCACATTTGCTCCTTCAGTCCACCACGCCCCGCCCCCCTCCCCACCCCGCGTCTGCCCCTTCCTGTCATCTTAGCATCCCCAGGAGAGGGCCCGTTTCTGCCCTCCAGATGTCCTTTGCCAATTCTCTATCCTCCTCTACCCTTCCCCTACTGCGACTAGTTTCTCAACCTGGCTGGTGACACAGTCACGTGAATACCTCTCCTCACCGTTCCTATGCCACTGCCGTTTAAGTCCCCCCCCCCCCGACCTTTTCTCCTAATTTGTCCACCTTCAGCCTACTAAGCTCCATGCAACCCAAAAAGAATCTTTGTGGTGTGATTAGTCAATGGATCCACACCTGCTTAGGACCCTGCCCTTTTCCCTGGGACACAGGTGCCACCTGGGCCAGCCCCCTTGAGCCTCACCAGCTTCCCTTGCCAAAGGCTCCTCCCTGCTGGGTTTCAGTTCTCTGTCCAAGGATAGACCCTAGGATCATCCTGTGGTTGCGTGCTCTCATGCCTGTGTGTGCACTTGTTCCAGGGACTCACTGGCATGGCCTCCAGCTTCCTATGCCTTCCCTTCCTCTTCCTCTGGGAAGCCTTCCTCACGACCCCAGGCTGGAGGGTGGCATCTCTACATTGTCCTTTGTTTTGTGGTCAAGCAGGCCACTTGTCACGAAACCGTAGCGCTGCATTTCCGACGAGAGCTGCATCTTTGTCTCTCGTCTTAAAACTGTTGGCTCCTTGTGTGTAGAAAGTGTGTCTGACTATTGGGTGTAGTGCTGTGCCTAGCTCATTATCTGAATTCCCTGAAAGCCTGTTGAACAAATGCCTCTCGCTAACGACCATCTCTCAGCTCCCTATTGCATCGCTGCTGATTTTCCTATTATTTACTTAACTGGGGCTCTGATCCAGATCATCCATCGAGGGTTTGGGGGCTGACAGCCGCTGCCCTGAAATGCATTTCTATTTCTTCCTAGGGACTCTCAGTGTTTTTAATTCTTCCTTTGTGCTTCTCTTGCCTCCGCATCAGCAGTATCATGAGAAGTGGTCTGTCGTGGGTGAAAGATCTTTACAAACAACTACAGTGTGATGGGAAGCATCCTCTGGGAAGAAGGTACCCAGCTAAGAAAGGATGCAAATTTTACAATCAGAGTGCTTCGCTTTGCTTCCTGCCTGGCTCTCTGGGAGGAATTTTGAACGGTGCAGCGGGAGGTTAGAAATCAAGGGCTCTGTCTCACTTTGTCACTGAGCCTTGAAAACATTACAAACATTTTCGCCTACTTTTTTTTTTTTTTTAAAGCAGCACAGCCTCCAAAGAAATAGGAAGAGCCTGGCCTGATGAGCTAATGGCAGGTTGCTGTTTGCTACACAGGGACAGAATGGGGACACTCTGGAGGGTTGCAGGTGCCCATCTTTTCTGTTTTTAATGGAGAGCTTAATAGGCTAACCCTTGGTGCTTTATAATACTGGGCAGTGGCTGGAGATGCAGAATCGCAGACTGGAGAGAGAAGCCACAGGACAAATTGATAGGGGCACGTCTCTCTCAGCATAGGTCAGGCGGTCATTAAAAATGAAGGCGTGCTAGCCTAGGTAATGACACACACACAGATCTGTCCCATGGCTGCATGGAACCATCAGGCTACAGGACACACTGATGGTGCTGTCTTAAGCCACCAGTAAAGAATACGTTTGAGGAAAGCTTGGAATTGTATAGGGCAAAGAGGGGTTACCTCAGTAGGGGATGCTGTGGTGATGAAGGGCTTTGATTTCCTCTCACTGTTTTATATTTTCAAAATTTCTAAGACTAGTTGGAGTAACAACTTGATATAAGAACGACTGATGCTGTTAATCACGGAACTACCCATCCCCCTGCCCCATCAGCCCCAGCCCCAGCTGGATTATAAGAATGTCACTCTTTCCAAGTTTCTAGAACACTCTGAAGGTTTCCACCGATGCCTCTGATAGAAGCAGGGGCTTGGAAATGCAAGACAGGGGAGAGAGGAGGGCCAGTGGTGAAGGGTGGCGAAGAAGCAGGTGACGGTGTGGGGACTTTCTCCATCCCATCCCAGGACGAAACCATTTCTTAAACAGTTATCATTTCCATGCCACATCTGTGCTTGTGGTAATTTCACTGAAAAAAAAAATGTCCCCTACAGGTTTGTGTAGTGAATAATTGGTTCCAGGTTGGTGGGGCTGTTTGGGGAGACTGGAAGTTTTAGGAGGTAGAGCCTTGTTAGAGGAAGAATGCCCTTGGAGGTGGGCTTTGAGAGCTCATAGACTAACCCCCTTACAGTTCACTCAGCTGGCCTCCTCCATGTGGCTGAGAGGTCACCTCCTGCTCCTCTCCCTGCCGCCATGCCGTCCTCACCATTATGGAACTCCCCTCTCTCTGGATCCACAAGCCAAAATGAATTCTTCCATTGCCTTGGTCACGGTGTTTTTTATCACAGAAACAGCAAATAACCAATGCAGTGGTCCAGAGCGAAAGCATCACTCAGGCCTGCAGGGAGCTCTGCTGGGGCCGAGCCCCGAACTCTAATCTGGGACTTGGTAAGGTAGTTTTCTGCTAGCCTGATAGACAGGCAAAATCAGAAGGGCCTGGGGGGTGGTACACACCGTCACTGCTGGGAGCCAAGGGTAGTGCTGTTACCTGTGGCTCTCAGAACCCTGACTCCATCTCACGAGGATTAAGACATTCTTGAACGTGTCTGATGCCAAGGACCGTGGGCAGACACTCACCCCTCCCCCTTGACCTGTCTCAACCCCCGTCCCTGTCCTTGACGATGACCGCAGAGAGAACGACAGCCGCTCCAAGGTCTAGGTGACAGTAAGAGACGAAGCCACTTGACGAGAGGCAGGAGGGACTAGAGCTAAGGCCACCAAGAGCTGTCACATCAGGGCCATTTTGTCTCATCCCCCAAACAGAAGCATGAAGAGCCCACCCCCTGCACACGGCTCCCCACTTAGCACTCCCCACAGACCACGGCTGTTACTGGTCAACCTCTGGCAGAAGGTCCAAGCACCTGAGCTTGGCCTTTCCCATGCCCCACCTCTTCTGCCCTCACCTGTGTCCTGCCTGTCTGCTCAACCTCCACGGTCTCTGCACATTCCGTTCAGGCGGCTCCAGACAGCCCTCATCTCTGCCTCACGGTCACCTTGCTTCCACAAAGCCCTTCATGTGGTACTCCCTTGTCCTCTGATCCTAACTTGGCATCCTCAGCACCTTGTTTTTTCTTTTAATATTTTATTGATTATTATTATTAGTGTGTGTGTATGTTTGTGTGTGTGTGTGTGTATGTTTGTGTGTGTGTGTGTGTGTGTGTGTGTGTGTGTGTGTATACACATGGGCCAGGGTATGCATGTGGGGGCCAGAGGACACTTCTGTAGAGTCAGTGATCTCCTTCTACCTTTACGTGAGTTCCCAGAATGGAACTCAGGTTATCAGGCTTGAGTGACAAGTGCCTTTACCACTGAGCCATCTTGCTGGCCCATGCACTTTTTTTTTTTCTAATTGTGTTTATTCACTGCCA